TGCTCGTTCTGGGGCTGGATGGGCCTCGCTGCCACGGGGTCCCCTTCCCTCACCCGTCGTTCGCCTTCCTGCTGCAGACATCAGAGCACACCGTCTCGTGCTGCAGAGAGAAGTGCCGGGAGCACCGTTAGTCTAGCTCAGGTTGGCCGACTGTGAACTGGCCTGTTCTTGTAAATAAAGTTTTATTGGCACTCAGCCATGCTCATTTATTTATGCACTGCCTGTGTCTGCTTTTGAGCCAAAAGGCAGAGTCACTGTTACTATCTGGCCTGTACAGAAAAAGTTCGCTGCCCCCTCCCCAGCTCAAGTAGGGTGTGTGTGTGTGTGTGTGTGTGTGTGTGTGTGCATGTGCGTGCATGCGTGGGGGTGTGTGTGCGTGTGTGTGCACGTGTGTGCATGTGCGTGCGTGCGTGCGTGTGTGCATGTGCACGCGCGCGCCCCGTACACTGGCCTGAGAGCTCCCGCCCTCTCTCCCTTCTCCCCCACCCCTTCCTCCTCCTCCACCTCAGTGACAAAACAGCCGACAAAGGGGCAGTGGCGCTTTGCTCCAAGAAGCAGTGACATGAACTCTCTCAGGAAGTGAATTTTCTCACCCTCCCAGACAGCTGACCTGTGTCCCCACTGGGACCTGCTCAAAGAAGTCACTGGGCACCAGCCGAGGGGCGGTGGCCAGACAGACGGGTCTGGGTGCTTCTGACTTTGAGACCTGCCTTGGACCAGCCTTCCCCCGGCTCAGAAATCTGCCCGAATGGAAGTTGGGGAGGCAGAAATGGGAGGCCACAGAGGACTGGCCAGTTCCGTCGTTGCCAGGACCACAAGGCTCTCCCCACCCCGCACGGCCCGGCAACCAGGCCCCGAGTCATGGGGTACCCCTCAGCAGGGCCGTGGGGGAGGCCCGGGGGCATCAGTGGCTCTCAGGAGTCGATGGGATTGTCCTGGGCGATCCAGGCTGTGAGGTCATGATACCCACAGATCTTTCCTGGACAGAGGGGGTCCCTGCTGCAAGGGGACACACTGGCTCTGTCCCAGCCTTGCAAATGTTTGACACAAGGGGTCCCAGCCCGTCTTGGAAGGAATGACTGTGCCTCAGAGAGTGAGGGTGACAAACGTGACCTGGCTGCTGAGATAAGGGGGTCTAGGGCCAAGTGGGTCACAGGGGAACATTCGTTCTGCCCAGAGCCAGCCTCCAGGGGGCCTGAAGACATTGTCTCGTGGGGTCTCTTCCCAGGAGAGGGAGGAGAGGGAGGCAGCTCCAGGTCAGCTGGGGGACCCGAGAGAGGCACAGCCCTCTGCACATCCCTCCCTCTTGCCGGCCCTGGGCCCCCGCGGGAGGACAGCTTTCCCTGTGGCTGTCCCTGCCCTCATCCCCCAGCAGGCACTCTGCCCTCGCTTCCTCAGTGGGAAATAGATATGCCAATTCCGGGGGGCGGGGAGGGGGGGAGGACCCGCTGCACCTCTTCATCTTGAGCACCTCAGTGCTCCTTAGAGCAGGTGACCTGCGAGATACTCCCAGCAGCCAGGCACTGACGGCCTCTGGCCCAGGCCCCTCTGCAGACGCTTACTTAGACCTCTTTAGCCAGGGGCCGGCCTTCCGCCTTGTCTGGAGGGTCCGAGGACCCCGTTCCCACTCCGGGGAGCCAGGAGTCCCTTCTGCAGGCCAGCAAGCAAGGCTGGGGACGTCAAGGCGGCCTGTCGTTTCCCCTTGTCCAAGGTGGGCACCGAGGACAGAAATGGCAGGGGTGGTCTGAGCCCTGTCAGCCCCCTCTCCGGCCCCCTCCTCCCTAGATGCAGCCCCCCGGTACTGCCTTGGGGAGGATAGCATGGGTACAGGGAGCCCTCTTTACCCCGTGGCCCCATCCCCACTTCCAGGAGCCGAGAGACAGTGAAGCCAGTGCGGGGGCGGGGTGTTCGGAGTCAGACGTCCTCCCCAGATGGGCTGCTGGTTCGCGAGCAGCCCAATGTTGGCTTCCGGTTGAAGGAAAACGAGGTGGCCGTCCAAGTGTTGGTCCAGACTTACCTGGGGATGGAGGTGATTGTCTCCGTGCCCACCCGAGTCGAGGCCAGCCCAGCGGTCCTGAGGAGAGTGTCGCCGGCCGCACCCGTACAGGCAGATGTGGGGCGTGGGACCTGCCGGGGAGGTTGCTGCCCTCTCAGGGGCGACTGAGCCAGGGCCCCCCGAGGCCGAGCATGCTCCAGACCTCGAGTGAAGCTCGCGGCTGGCTTGGCCAGTTGGAGGCGGCTGTGCTGGGAGACGGGGGAGGAGCTGGGAGCGGGCAGCTCGAACAGCTCTGCTGCCTGTCGGGGCTTCGCCTTCCCTCCAAGCAGGGGCCGCGGGAAGTCAGCTCCCCCTTGCTTTGACCAGGGAAGATGCCCCCTGCATGGGCCAATTTCAGGATCCATGCCAACTTGGCTCCTGCACCCGACCCAGTGGAGCTTCACGCCCGGCCCCGAAGTCCACCTCTCCCTGCGGACTGCCGGGCGGGCAGCCTCTCCCTTATGACAGCGTGGCCTTGGAGACAGAGCAGGGCTTCCTTCTGTGCCAAGGCTCTGGCCTCCCCCGCGGCAGGTGTGATGGGAGCGCAGAGGCCAGGCTGCTGGGACGCGTCTGTGGTCAGCCTGTTCCAGCAAACCCCGCGTTCCTCATGAGCACCCTCCCCGTCTCCCCGCACCCCTGCTCACCCGGCCTCCTGTTTCTCTTTCCATCCATCAGGCAGCTCTGACCGCTTCGCCACGTGCAGAGGCCACCGAGCAACCTTCCTTCCAGTCCTGCCTGGGCCCGATCGGAAGCCTGGAGAAGAGGCCCCGCGATTGATGCCTTTGCCCCGGGAGTCGGCGACACGGTGAGACGGAAGGCGAACATGGGTCAGAAGGTCACCGGAGGGATCAAGACGGTGGACATGCGGGACCCCACGTACCGGCCCTTGAAGCAGGAGCTCCAGGGCCTGGACTACTGCAAGCCCACCCGCCTGGACCTGCTGCTGGACATGCCCCCCGTGTCCTACGACGTCCAGCTGCTCCACTCCTGGAACAACAATGACCGCTCGCTCAACGTCTTCGTGAAGGAGGACGACAAGCTGATCTTTCACCGGCATCCGGTGGCCCAGAGCACGGACGCCATCAGGGGCAAGGTCGGGTACACGCGGGGGCTGCACGTGTGGCAGATCACGTGGGCCATGCGGCAGCGGGGCACGCACGCCGTGGTGGGGGTGGCGACGGCCGACGCCCCGCTGCACTCCGTAGGGTACACGACCCTCGTGGGGAACAACCACGAGTCCTGGGGCTGGGACTTGGGGCGCAACCGGCTCTACCACGATGGCAAAAACCAGCCGAGCAAAACGTACCCGGCTTTTCTGGAGCCGGATGAGACGTTCATTGTCCCCGACTCCTTCCTGGTGGCCCTGGACATGGACGATGGGACCCTGAGCTTCATCGTGGACGGACAGTACATGGGAGTGGCTTTTCGGGGACTCAAGGGCAAAAAACTGTATCCTGTCGTGAGCGCCGTCTGGGGCCACTGCGAGATCCGCATGCGCTACCTGAACGGGCTCGACCGTAAGTGTCCTCTGCGCGGTCCAAGGTGGCACTGTCCCCAGGCTCCCTGTGTCCCTGGGGTCCTGGCTGGGCCCGGCCAGAAGTTCACGCAGTCGTTGGAATTAAAATGTCTCTGAGTAGACAGCCCAGCATATTCGGATCCTCGGTGGGGACGCTGGCCTGCCTCTGGCTAAATGAATTCCGGCTGGAGTCTGGGAGCACCGCACAGTGAATGATCGAGGGATAGGTGGATGGATGGAGAGATGGGTGTCGGGAGGGTAGGTGGTGAATGAATGAATGAACGAATGAATGAGCCGAGGCATGGGCTTTGAGCAGATGTGCTTTGTTTCTGGTTGACCTGCCTTTAGCTTTGCTCTGCAGGTGACCAAATCCTAGCACAGTAGCCGGCGTGTCGTTGAGCTGGGGTTGGCGGCTTTGGGGGTGCTGGGTCCTCTCGCATAACCGAAAGCCAGCGCCCTCCCTCAGTCATTAGACTGGCGTACGGTTTCTCTCTTGGTGCCGGAGGCTTCTGAGTGGGCTCCTCTGGGACACGGTTCCCTGAAAGGGGCTTGTCAGTCATGGTGTCAGGAGGCCTTGAGAGAGAAGCAGACTGGGTAGGCAGCAGTTTCCACCTGTCCCAAGGTGAAAGGAGTGGCCTCTCTCAGCCCGTGTGTGGACATAAGGTTCCTGGGACGGCACCATCTGTGTGTGGGCACGGGAGGGCTTTACGGCTGGCTGGCTGGGAGCCCATGTTGGCGGGACGTCCTGGCACTCTGCGACTGTCCACCCCATGTCTGGCCCTCACTCTTTCATGGGTTCTTTCCACCATCTGCAAATTCCACCTTGAAAAGGTGCTGGGCCAGAAGGGTTCACCCACCGATATGCTGACCACCTTTGTGGGGCAGCTTTGGCCTGGCACCCCGAGATCTAACCCTCCCCGCCAAAGGCCAGACTGTGGGTGAGGCCCCTGCCGGGGTTCAGTAGCACAGATGCTCAGCCCAGATCTTGCGGTCTCCAAGCCTTCGGAGTCAAGGGGAGCAGGGAACGTGCATGGCAGTGGGTTGTCGAGAACCGCCCCGTGAGCCGGACCCTGGATGGAGCCTGGGAATGCCCATGACCTGAGCCCACCTCAGACACTCAGTGAATGATGAGGGTCCCCTCCCTCCGCATCAGACATCGCTTCTCGCCTTCCCCAGGCCTGGTCAGACACGGGTGGGCCCCGCTCTGCATGGCACTGGCTTTAGGGGAACCAGATGGGAGGACCGTGAGGGCAGTCAGCACCCTCAGTGTTCCACACATGCAGAGGGTGGAGGAGGCGCCACACATTAGAGCCGCTGGCCTCAGCCTGCTTACTGACACCTGGGTTCTACGTGAAGAGAGCATCTCATGTCCTGGACGGGTCACTCTGGCTGCTGTATGGAAATGGACGGTTGCGGAAGAGTGGCCACCGGGAGGCCAGGGAGGAGCTATGACAGCTGTCCAGCGGAGAGATGATGGCTCGGGCCAGGGCGGGGAAGTCAAATGTGAGATGCTCACTCAGCACTTCCTGGTGACTCTGCAAGTCTAGAGAGAGACAGGGTCTGGGACAGTGGTCAGTGGGGACGTCACCCAGGGCTGGACGGTGTTTAGACTCGTGTCCCCTGGATGAGATCACCTAGGGACCAAGGCCGAGCCCCGGGGTGCGTCAGTGCCTAGAGGCCAGGTGGATGAGAAGGAGAGGACGCAGAGTGGCCGTGAGGCTGGAGGGGACAGTGACGTCCTGCACACTAGGCCAAGAAAGGACTTCGAGAAGGACAGAGGGTTACCAGGTCGAGTACGCTGATGGCCGAGAATGGTCCATCAGCTCTGGCAACCAGGCGATCACTGGCGACCTTGACGAGTTGTCTGGGTGGGGCGCTGGTTTAGAGAGGGTGTTCGCTTCCTGGGGTGGCTGGAACAAATGACCACTAGCTGAGCGGCTTAAAACGGCAGAAATGTGTTCTCTCTCGGTTCTGGAGGCCAGAAGCCTGGCATCGAGGTTCTGGCGGGGCGGTTCCGTCTGAGGGCGCCGGGGAGGATCCGCCCCGCGCTGCCTCCTGGCTCCTGCTGGTTGCCGGCAGTCCTTGGCTTGTAGACATTCTCGGCCTCCACCGTCACGTGGGCTTCTCTGTGTCTCTCCTCTTCTTACAAGGACACCAGCCGTTGGATTCAGGGCCACCCTACTCTGGGAGGATCTCATCTTAACTAATTACATCTGTAACCCTATTGGAAATAGGGTCACATTCTGAGGTTCCAGAGGGTCCTCAATTGGGGGTGGGGAGGGGCACCATTCTACCCCCCATAGATGTAGAGACAGTGACTATAGACCATTCCCACAAGACCTGCCGCTCCTCATGACAATGCTTAGGGGAGAGACAAATCTGCCCAGCGGCTCAGACGGTGGGGTGCCTGCCAGGTGAGGTCAAAGGGGGCCTCAGGAGGGTTTGCTTTACCTTCCAAGGCAGCTTGGAAAGAGGAATGTCACAGCGAGACCAAGTGTGGGGTCCACCCAGGGAGCAGGCAGGACAGGCGGGAACTCTGTCCAGGCCGAGCTAGATACGCCTTGTCCGTGTCAGGCCTGGACTGGGCTCTGCTTTCACAATCTTGGAGGTGGTTCTGATCCGTGACTGCTCCCGGGGACATCTGGGAAGCCAACTGCACCCTTCTTCCCCACCCCACCCGACCCTGGCCACCAGGTCCTGATCTCAATAGGGAACCGCTGTGCACAGAGCCAGTTAGCCAAGGTCACCCAGCCTGGGCACCCTCCCTGGTTGCTGAGCGGGCTCTGTGTTCTCCCAGCCCGCACACCAGGCAGACCCTCCCCATCAGAGTCCCTTCCCTGTATGGGGCCAAAGGCCAGGAGTTGTCAGTGTGTCCCTGTGTGACCTCCCCATATCCGACCAGCTATGACCACAGGCTCCTCCTCCAGCCTTGAGACCTGGGGCTAAGGCTGCAACCCCAGGGGCTGCTGTGTCACCCGGATGTTTCCTGGGTTAGAGGGATGGAGTGGCCATCGCAGTGGGGAGAAGGGGCCCAGCTTGTGCCCCAGGCCTGCCTGCCGCTCTCCCCGGAGATGCAGAAGGAAGAGGCCTATTTTCAGGCAGCAGACAGGCCATCACCCAAGGGAGAGTCTGTGACCCGTGGGTCCTCTCAGCCCTCCCCGGGAGCAGGCATCTCCACTAAGAAAGCATTTTCCCTGCCATCTGGAATTTTCAAATTCTCCCTTTTATGGCTCCCAGATAAGTTTGGTGCAGTTGTCATGATTGTGAGTTCAAGAAAGGCTCCGTCAGTTCTTTTCCTCAGGAGCCTTTCGACTTGGTGACCTCCTCCTGTGTCCGTCCGGGGTGCCTCACCCGATGATGGCCCCTCCCTGCACCTCCATTTCAGCTGGGCTCTGGGGCAGAGAGACCACTTGAGAGGAAGAGGTTGTTCCAGACCCCATGCCCCCCAAAAGGCTAGTCATACAGGGACAACAAACTCTCAAGAGTTGGGGGGACAAGGGACCAAGGGTGCCTGCATTACCCAGCCAGGTGTTAGGTGTCCCTCCCTGGATGGCAAAGGGAGGGACAAGGGGTTGGAGTTTTGCCGCTTTTTCGTAAGAACCGCTTCGCGTAACGGGAACTGCACACGAATCCCAGGGTGGCCGTCGCCACACAACCCTCCAGAGTCCGTTCACGGAGCACGGGCACCGCCAGCTGCTTGCAGAGTCAGCACGAGGCCCGTCACAGGAGCGGCGCCGGCGAGGGGGGGGACGTCGCCGAATCCGCAGCACTTCCTGCCGTGAGACACTGGTCCTCGACTCACAGACCCGACGTTTCTTCTTCATTCCGCTCCCGGACTGGACGCGGCGCCGGGCTCCGGGGCCTGAGTCATGCTGTGGTCTCGCAGAGAGCTCGGCGAGCCGCGGGCCGGGGTGCTGGCGCGTGCCCGTTCGAATAGGCCAGGCGATCGTTCCTTCTAGAAAAGCTGGACTTGGCGCACGGACTCGACCAGTTCCTCAACTTTCCGCTCCCATAAATAGCACCTGATTCACTTCCTGATTCCTGCCGTGCACGCTGGCTCCACCCCCCTCTCATTCATATAAACTCTGCGAACCAGCGAGGGGGCCCCTCAGCTTCCTGGAGATGGCAGAGCAGCGGGAGTCGTCCATAAGCCCTGCTTTCTCTGTCTGGGAACCTCCTCCGTGGAATTTCAGGGGGCACCTCGCTTGGCGGATGGAATGGGATGCAGAGCCTGCAGCCCCCGATCAGAAGTATCGGGGTGGGGAGAGGCCTCCTTGGGTCCTGTGAGTGACCAACGGAAACCCGTGGGCCAGACGTTTTCCGTGGCACGGCGCCCGCGTCCGTCCGTGCCAGGCGCATGCGGCCTGCCCAGCCTTTGACGCGCAGTCAGACCACGGCCTGTGCATCATCATTTGGCTCCTACCAGATCGGCGGGAGGGAACCTGTTTGTGTACTCGAGGCCCCCGGGAATAGGCCCCTACATGGGATGTCTGGGGGACCGGTCGTATTTTCGGCTCGTCACGCGTCACCGCAGCTGTCAGCTGCCACTCCTGCAGCCCTTCTTGGAAGGTCTCACGTGTCCTAAAGACATGTCCCTTCTGGCTGCATGAGCTTTCCCTAACTGGGTTATACAGTGTGGTCCAAAGACGGTCAGGCAGAGGCGGCTCCGCCACGCCACACGGCTGCTCTCAGCGCGTGTGGCATGGGTGGCCCCTTTGGGTCAACCGCAGAGGGCTACCGGAGCTTCCTCTTCGTGTTGGCGTAGAAAGAGCCGGACCTTGGAATTGAACGGACCCGGGCGTATATCCACGGCCTAGCCCCTCGGCTCTCAGACCTCGGACCCCAGCTCCCACCTCCCCAAGCCCGTTTCCCCATCTGCAGGTTGGGGGCCACAGTCCCCACCAGGCACAGGACAGGTGCTCCACCAGCCGCAGCTGCTAGTGGGGCTGTGACTTAAGCACCGAAACGGGGGAGCCGGACCTTGGCTGTTTAGAAACGTTTCTTCAGGAGGGCATCCATGAGCCGACCCGAATCCCGTCAGGCCTAGAGGGCCTGAGGCAGCTCCCTCTCAGCCCACCCTCTGCAGTCCGGCCGGGCGCCCTGGATGCTTCCTCAGAGCCTTCGGCCTCCAGGGGAAGCCCCCTCCGCCTCCCAGCGAGGGCTGAGCCCCATCCTTGAGGGAGGAGGGGCTGTGGGAATGGAAGAGAGTCCCTGAGTGGAGGAGAGGAAGCAGGGCAACCCCTTCCCCCCTCACCCCAGTCCCACAGAAGGGCCATCGCCTTCAGGATCTCACTTCGGCCTCCAGGGGAAGCCCCCTCCGCCTCCCAGGGAGGGCTGAGCCCCATCCTCGAGGGAGGAGGGGCTATGGGAATGGAGGAGAGTCCCTGAGTGGAGGAGAGGAAGCAGGGTGACCCTGGTCCCACAGAAGGGCCATCGCCTTCAGGATCTCCGCTGGACGGGACTTTGGGGTGTATCTGGTCTGACTTCTCACCTTACAGGTGGGGAAACTGAGGCCCAGGCAGATCTGCGCAGGGCAGAAGTGAGGAGCCAGACCTGGCGTCACCCCAGGCGGACGCTTCCTGGCGGGGGAGACCCCGGCCCTGCGGGCAGGCAGGGGGAGACACGCGCCCGGTGCCAGAACTTTCCGCGGAAGGCGCTGTCCTCTTCCGTCCCTGCTGTGACGGGAGCCGTCGGTCGTTGGCGTTCTTTTAAAGTCTGAAATTTCGCTACTCAGTGCGCTGTCAAGCCTGAGATTCGTCCTTTAAAAAAAATAACAACAGGTTTGTCAAGATAGACAACACATGCCACACGACTCGAGATTTAGCGTCCAATTCAGTGGCCTCTGCTATAGCCACAGTCGTGCGGCCATCACGACGAGCGAGTCAGAAGGAAAGCCACACTTCCGCATGTCCCCTGCACCCCACACTTCCGCACGCCCCCCCGCACCCCCCGCGGTAGGATTTGGTCTTCGACGATTGAGTTTTTTAATGTTATTTTTAGTATTCTGAGACACAGTCAGTAGTATGGGTGGAATGGGGTCTCAAGGGAAATGCTGGGATTCTTCTTAGTTTTGGGGTCTGACCTTTGTTTCGCTCACAAAAGGCTTTCGGAGTCAAAGGGAGACCGTGGGCGAAGCCACAGATCCGCTCATGTCAGCTCCTTCCGTGTCCGGAACAGCGCGGGGTGACCCTGAGCGGCTGTAGGTGTGCTCATCTGTACCTGGTTTTAGGGAAGGGAGCAGGGAGACGTCTGCCCCGGGAGGCAGGGTGAGCTGGGCCTCTGGGCTGCGGAGGGAAAGACATCAAGACTCTTAGAACTGAGAGTTTATCTGAGATGCAGCTGCACTGAGCGGGGAGACGGGCCCAGGACGTCCGCGGACACAAAGACACAGGCGCCCCGCAGGCTGCGGCTAGAAGCCCCTCTCAAACCAGGTGCTGAGTCACCTCCGCCGTGAGCTGGGCCCAGACTGCTTGGACCCGGACCCCAGCCCGCAACCCTGCACGTCAGGCGCCCCCTCTGCACCCCCTCCACTGCCCCGGGAGGCAGGGTGAGCTGGGCCTCTGGGCCGCGGAGGGAAAGACATCAAGACTCCTCTGCACCCCCTCCCCTATAAAATAAAGATGAGAAGAGAACCCGCAAGCAGTTGAGTTAGCACAGAATGATCTTTCTGGAACCTTGTGTGGGGTCTGGCTCGGGGTGCCTGCTGGGGTGAGCTGGCTCTGTGGTGCCCCAGGCGACGCTCGCTGAAGGCTGCAGCTCGTCCGGCGGGTAAGAGCAGGGACAGCCTGGGTTGAAATCCTAGCTTCGTCTCTCCCCAGCAGTGCGACCCTGGATCCCTGGGAGTTATTTGGACTCTCCATCCCTCAGTAGAACGGGGATGATGACGGTGGTCTCTGCCTGTGACTATGAAATCTCGGTCCACCTCGAGGATTAAACGCACTAGCGTTGGTAGAGAGCTTATGAAGGTGCCTGGCCCAGAGTGAGTTCTCTGTGTCAGCTCTTCATAATTCATTTAAAATGCATAAAGATTTCATTCTTGACGACCTGTGTTTGAAAACCAGTATTAATGACGCCTTCGCTGCTGTTCGTACTGTTTGCTGTGGAACCGTCCGGAGCCCTGCTAACCTGGTTCTCTCTCTCTCGTCCCCAGCTGAGCCCCTGCCGCTCATGGACCTCTGCCGCCGCTCCGTGCGCCTGGCCCTGGGAAAGGAGCGGCTGGGCGAGATCCACACGCTGCCGCTGCCCGCCTCCCTCAAGGCCTACCTCCTCTACCAGTGACGCGCTGCCCGGGACGGCCAGCACCACAGCCCGCCCACCACGTCACCGCCACACCCCGGGCCGTGGCCCGGCGTCCGAGGCCGCGGGACGCAGGCCCTGCTCCCCTCCGCCGTTCCCGGCTGCCTTGCGGGACACAGACAGGACAGCCCTGGACACGGGCTCCTCCGTCCCCCTTCCCGACGTCGGCGGGAGCGTCCTGCATGCCACGTCACCTCCCCTCCTTGGGGAAAGACACGGAATAAACTTTTAGGACACGCGGCGCTGAGCTCCGACCTGCTCTGCCCTCGGGGTGCCATGGCTGCCCCGCAGCTGCCGGGAGGGGCCGCGGCACCGAGGACAGATACCGGGGGTGCTACGAGGTGCTGGCACGAGGAGCCGCGCCTCGGAGACGAAGCTCAGGACGTCGAAACGCGCCCCGGACGCCGAGGCGGGAGCCGGGCCCGGGAGCGCCCCGCGGCCGGCACCCCCTTCCCCTGTATTTATTCTTTTAACAATAACAAAAGCCATTTATTTATTCCATTTAGAGAGGGACCTTGTTCCGGTCGCCTCTCCGGAGTGTTCTGTTGCTTTCGCTTCCCCAGCACGTGTGCCTCACCCGCCCTCCCTGGGCCGTGTCCGGCGCGTCCCCACGTGGGCACAGCTGTCTTTGTGTGGGTCCTTCGACCCACAGTGTTTCCTGGGGGATCTGCTCCGAGCTCCCGAGCAGGCCCCTCGGGGAGCTCCAGCCTCGCGGGGAGAGTCTGGGGACTCGCGGCTACACGGCTGTGGCAGCTCCCACGACTCCACATCCTTATTCACACTTGGGCTCGTCCGTCTTTGCACATGGTTCTATGTCTTCAGTCTTCCATGGGTTTTTAGGTTATGGGTTTGGTCTTGCTTTTGGCTTCTTAACCAAAATTTCCCACGTGCCTCTTCAGAAGCTCTGGCTCTCCAGGGGACCACCAAACCAAGGCAGGAAGGATGAGAGGGTCTCCGCCCCCTGCCGAGCCAAGGGCAGGGCGGGCCGGGGGAGCCCAGAGCGAAGTCCACGCGGGTCTCCGCTTAGCGCCCAGTTCATCGCAACCCCCCAGAGCCAGAGGGGCAGGGCAGGGTGGGGCGGGGCAGGGCGACGAGCAGGAGAGGGGGGACGCCCCCTCTCTGCCACAGCTCCCCCACGTAGCAGACCCCTGCTCCCTGCCACCACATCTGCCGTTTATCTTAAAGTCAACTTCCTCAGAGTCTGACTTCAGTTCATTTCTGTACAGGTACAATAGATGACTTTATTTGTTTAAAATGTTTAATATATATGCATATATATTTGTCCGTAAGAATTATGTTTTAAACAGCTGCTGTAGGGTACCTTTAAGGAAAAAAAAAAAAAGTCTTCCAGTGGAGTATATTTTTGAAAGCACAAAAGCGGTGCCAAGGCTCGGTGAGGAACGTAAATTACCCCGATTACCGCGAGGTGTGTGTGTGTGTGTGCGCGTTTCAGGCGGGGGACCCGACCTGTGAGATCTGAGTGGATTTTCCTCACTCCTGTGTCAGGGCGGGTCATGTTCCGATGAATTCTGCACCTGAGATGAGAGAGTTTCCCTCATAGCTCCAGCCTCTTTGCCTTGACCCAGCGCCTTCCGAAGACGCTGGATGAGTCACCGGGCTCTTTCGTCATTCTGCGCACCTCCTGCGCCCCCAGCTCCCCAGACCCGT